GATTTTACGATTTCAGTAAGATATTTCGTGTAAAATCTATATTAAAATCTGAAATTCATAAAATCTGAGGATTTCACGGTAAAATCTCAATTTTATCTTCTGTTTGACAGCTAGACTTTTTACTTATTTCTTTTTGGGCTTCTCATCTTGAGATAGTGAGTTTTGACTAAATAACCCATAAATTAAACTCATTTTTCATTTTAAAAGCCCACAACCCATACAACCCAACCACAAATTAACATTTTAATCAGGAATTCGAGACAAATTTGATTTAACCATCTAAAATTTTAAATTTAAGTCATTTTCTTCGTTTAATTTATTTGTGTTGTTGGATATTTAGATTTTAATTAGCTAATTTTTGTTGTACCTATGATTTTGATGATTACAAAACACATTTGAATGACTAATTAGTTTATTTAAGTGTGTAGTTAAGTTGCTAAAAGATTGCAAATAAACTTGGATTGCACTAAACATAGACCAAAAGGATTCAAAATGGCAGAGAGCCGGCTCTAAAAATCTGCAGCCGGCTCTGGTGAAATGGAAGTGCGGATAGCCGGCTCTGGAAGCTGCAGCCGGCTCTACAGGCAAAAATTTGAAGACCGTTACTTGGCGCGCGCGGAGAAATGAAGCAAAGCCGGCTCCAACTTTATAGCCGGCTGTGAGGGTGCATTTAATGCACAACGGTCGAGTCATTTGAAGATTATTTAATGTATTTAAAGTCGGAGTTACAAAGCCGGCTCAAAGTTTTGCAGCCGGCTCTCGAGGAAAACAGAATGTGCAGGAATCCAGCAAAGCCGGCTCTGGAGGTTTAAGCCGGCTCTCCTGACAATCCTGCAACTCGAGCTTCGCGTCCTGCAGGGCATTTAATGACCCCCAACGGCTAGTAACGGCTATTTTCGAGCAAGGGGCTATAAATATAGTTGGTAACAGATGTGAAGGGGTTTAGAGAGTATTGTATTGAATATCTTTACCTACCTACATGAGTTTTAACTTGAGTTTTTGATCTTTGAGAGATCTTTACTTGTAATCCTCTTCTTGTGCTATTAGTGAGTGATCTTGGGGATGTGTTGATTCCTTCAAGAGTGATTTGAAGAGAGGATCTTTGGGGTTAAAGTGTAAAGGGGTGAGATTTGAGAGAAACCCTTCTTCTTGTAAAGG